TCTAATAAAAGGTATTACCTCACCCACCTGATTTTTCTAATTTGTAATAGTGATAGTTGCAATGCCTTCTGTTCATCTACAGGGCAAATACAAGTCAGAGAACTGCGCTGCATGTTTATCTTTTCTACTGTCTTGAAAAAACATATGGTCTCTGAGTGTAAGAAAGTAATTTGTTAAGGTTTGCTTCATCTTGTTCCAGACCAGAGCAAACAAACTCCTTGATGGGTCAGATTTTACTCTCAAAAGCACAGAGCAAATTAGGGGAAAGAAAACACCCTCTGATAGCGTATTGTGTGTCTGAGATTCAAGTTTATCTTTAGTTGTGGAAAATGGGTTAGAATTGCCCTAATTATCCCCTTGTGAAGCTGAGGGTTTCCTATTTATAACGAGATGCCAAAAAGTAGCAGTAGTTTGTTTAGTTACAAAATGTACTGAGAGATTATTTGCTTTTCAAAATTCTTTTTAATTCTGTGTTTCATTTTTCATCATGACTTCGGTCTAGAGCTGGGTGAACTATTACCTTTTCTTCCTTTTGTATATTATCTAGAGACTTTGATGAATGTGTTAGTTATTTATAATTATTTTCTGAACACTTTATGTAAATATATTTCAGCCTGTGAGTTCTTTGAAAATCACCATTTTGTTTTGACTGTTTCTTTGCCTATTTACTGTTGTTGTTTGTGAAGTTTAATAGCTCACATGTTGTTATTTCTGTTTCCTGTTGTCCAAAACTTCATTTAAAAAAAAAGGAAAAAAAAAGAGTTTGAGCCATTCCAGCACAAGCCATAAATAAAAGAGCAGGTTGGAAAATAGGTCCTGTTTTTGGTGGAACATTTTGACTTTTTGATGAAGAAAAAAACAAACAAATCAAACACTACTTCGACCAAAACCCAGAATAGTTGAACTGAAAAATGCCTTTACGGTGTCTCATCGAAGCTGTAATTAAGATGCCTCATACTCCCATTTTTCTCAGTAGTCTGGCCTCCCTGGTTGGACTACATCTCTGAGGCGTCCTGGTCTGCCCTCTTCGCAAGGGGAGGCAGTGCATCATGGGAGTCTCATGGGAGATGATATCTAGGTGGGGAGCACAGCCCAGACAGGGGCATTGGTACGCAAGGCAACCCAACTATGACTCCCGTGTGGCATTGTGGAATATCTGAATCAAAATATTTCAGTTTTTGGGTGTCCAGTTTGACAAAAAACTGAAAATTTCCACACACAAAATTTTCACAGTAAAATTCATTCAGCTGAAAACTGTTTTTCATTGAAGAACAGTTTAAAAAAATTTTTGAGCAGCCCTTATAAATACCTGTTTTCACATGTAATCTTATTACTACAGCCACTTACACAAAAGGCAGCTGTTCTCTGGCATTAGTCCTAGCAAAAATTTGTTTGCATAAAAATTGACTCTAAAGTGGTCAGAAAAAGGTGTGTGAATATGGCTGAATCAGAAAGCAACTCAAAGTGACAACGTTTGTAAATAATTTTTCTAACTAATCCCTCAGTGTTTATTTAAATTAAAGTTGTTCTTTTGCAATTCTTCATCTTAACAGACATTGTTTCCCTCATTTGATTAATTCACTGTATATTAAAGTGGATATTTTTACCACACAGAAATCTGCACTCTAGGTTTGCTGTTTTATACATTTCCTCCATCCCTGCCTCATATAGGTCCTGATTCAAGAAAGATTCTCTATGCAGAAGAATGCTTGCTCTCCAAAATTGGGGCAATATACAATAGAGTACGGGACCAGTCTTGCAAGGTTCTGAGTACCTCCTGTGAGGTGTGAGACCTCTCCATTTGTATTGACTTCTGTGAGAGTAGAGGACGCTCAGTATTCTGTAGAATTTACCATCTAGTTAGTTTTTTCATCGGTGCCCAAGGACTTCAGTTCAACAAATCAGTTGGACTTCAGTTTTAACAGGACTCACGCATATGCTTAAAATTAAACATGACTTGAAAGTTTTGCTGAATAGGAGTCTGGATGCAAACAGCTCCATAGAAATCACTGAAGTACAGATAGTTTGTACAGTAGTTCTTAAACAAATTGTTTGCTCATATTATATAAAAAATAGTTTATAATCATTTTAATAAGAAAAGGGGATTACATCACTGCAACTCTGGGCCAGATGTTACTTTTTAGTTATGAGCTTTCACAGATTTATTTTGTTAAAAATGCATACTAACTGTAGCCACTCCATTGCCTATTTTCACTTGTAAAACGTGTTTATAACTACTCTAAATTTTAAATATTAACTTTATGTGAAAAGTAGAAATAAGTGGTCTGCATAAAAGCAATATTCCTCTGACCTGCCAGTTTAACTGGAGGAATACACAGGAATATCTAATAATAGCCAAATGAGGATTCCCATACATTTTTAATGTGGACCAGATGATTGGTCCTTCAGTGGGTGAAATGTAACATTTCCTTGCTGTCTCCAGGCTTTTGTGAAAGAAATATTCTTCTTACTGTGAAAATCATAGCACAGCAACTGCCTGAGAAGAGAAATGTTTCCTCACTCCAAACTCTGGGTACCTTTAAGGAAAGGTTCTTTCGCAGCAGTTCTGTGGAAAAGGACCTAGGGGTGACAGTGGACAAGAAGCAGGATATGAGTCAACAGTGTGCCCTTGTTGCCAAGAAGGCCAGTGGCATTTTGGGATGTATACGTAGGGGTATAGCCAGCAGATCGAGGGACGTGATCGTTTCCCTCTATTCGACATTGGTGAGGCCTCATCTGGAGTACTGTGTCCAGTTTTGGGCCCTACACTACAAGAAGGATGTGGATAAATTGGAGAGAGTCCAGCGAAGGGCAACAAAAATGATTAGGGGTCTGGAACACATGACTTCTGAGGAGAGGCTGAGGGAACTGGGATTGTTTAGTCTGCAGAAGAGAAGAATGAGAGGGGATTTGATAGCTGCTTTCAACTACCTGAGAGGTGGTTCCAAAGAGGATGGTTCTAGACTATTCTCAATGGTAGAAGATGACAGGACAAGGAGTAATGGTCTCAAGTTGCAGTGGGGGAGGTTTAGGTTGGATATTAGGAAAAACTTTTTCACTAGGAGGGTGGTGAAACACTGGAATGCGTTACCTAGGGAGGTAGTAAAATCTCCTTCCATAGAAGTTTTTAAGGTCAGGCTTGACAAAGCCCTGGCTGGGATGATTTAATTGGGGATTGGCCCTGCTTTGAGCAGGGGGTTGGACTAGATGACCTCCTGAGGTCCCTTCCAACCCTGATATTCTATGATTCTATGAAAGAGCTCCTTAACTCTCATCTCATATTTAAACTAACAGGTGTGTGTGTGGGGGTGTTAAAGGATGAGTGGGTTCTGTTTTATGACAAATGCCAACATAAGAAATGTTTAGAAAGACTGTACTGAGTTTCAACTTCATTCTAAGGTTCCACATAAGAAAATTATATACATACTAAAAATACCTACAATTATCAGTGTTTGGAAAACAGATTATTAAAATGAATATTAGGCCAGATTTTCCTTGGTCTTTGTTGGCGAAATGAAGGGTAGTCATGCATACAAGGAAGATGCATCCTGTAAAAGGCCAGGGACAACTTGAGGCCCTACTCTTAGAAGGAGTGCAGGGACTGTGCCTTCCATGAATGCCTAGGTACACAGATGACCTTGAAGGGCTTGTGGAAAGGAGACAGGTACAGGGTATCACAAAAGTACTAAGGCATCTAAACCCCAGAGTTAGGCACCTAAGTCCCAGTTTTGGCTCCACTGTGAACTTCGTAGGCACTTAAACTCACTTAATGCCTAATTTTTCATGGTCCAAATTTTCTCCGTGCCTACGTTTCTGCATCTGTGCTCTGTTGCCTTCTCTAGGCATCTGAATGCCTACCTCTTGACTAAGCCCCAGAGCAATTCATGAAAGATAGATAGATATTCGTCTGCCTGAGGGGGGAAGATAGATATTTGTCTGCCTGAGTTGCCTGATCCAGTAGGTATGCTCAGAGGCCACCTACCAGATCATGTCTTATTCAGAATCTCGCAGCAGGAGGAGGTAGTGTTGCTGGTGCCCACATTATGCAGTAACTGTGAGCCCAATGGTTAGAGCACTCACCAGGTTCCATTCCCTCCTCTGTACCGGGAGAGAGGGGAGAAAGAGATTTGAACAGTGATCTCCCACTTCTCAGGAAAGTGCTCTAACCATTGAACTATGGGATATTCTGATGTGAGACTCCCTCAGTCTCTCCTGTTAAAGTTGTCCAATTGTGAACAATGAAATAATGATTAGAGGAGGGAACTGGACCCTGGGTCTCCCACCTTCTGCCTGGGTGCCTTAAACACTGGACTACAAAGTCATTTTCTCTCTCATTCTCTCTCAGGCCCAATGTCTATTCAAGTGTTTACCCACTTTGGAACAATCAAATAAGCTACTTTTAAACTGAAGTAAGAGTATCTACACACAGACTTGTACTGGTTTAACTAAACTGGTTTAAAAATACCCTTAGTTAAACCAGTCCAAGTTAGGGTGTAGAAAACTCCCAAGATACATACATACGTGGGTGAAGTGTTTATAAGTGTGTATGCATGAAATCGTGGACTTTTGTAGGAGAAACTGCAATATAATCCACCCTGTTATATTCATAAGTCGTTCTACTGTTTGAAGAATGTTGGTTCCTGAGAGTGACTCTAGGTAAAGAGGCTGTGAGGTATTTTATAACCTAACAGTCATTTTGGTAAAGGTCTGAAGTTATGAAAGAAGCAGTTGAGTATAGTCCTCTCTGCTGCGGAGAATCAGGAAGTTTCCGAATGATAAATGAGTTTCTCAGAAATAGGACTTTAGCAGGATGCCAAAAAAATTGAAGTGGTAAATTATTAAAAGAAAATTAGTGTTTAGAAACTGACCGGATTGGCACCAGTCCCCCAGTACCCTCCCCAAAAAAGCAAACCAAGCAATGGAAATAAATCCATAAGCAAGTCTCTCTCTGATTTCCCTTTCAAGAAATACCAAACCCACAACTGATTTGTTTTTCCCAGGTCCGCATCCGTGTCCTGTCTGAACACAAGGAGTCAAGAACAGATGTTGGGGTAAGTGATTTCTGTTAGCTAGGCAGCTTATAAACTTACTTTGCATTAGAAGTTGAATTAAATTAATAGAGGATCATGACAGGAGTAATAAACTCAGAGATTGATGGATTCTAGTGCATTTACTTCTTGACTCTAAACTTCAGGCTTTTTCCTTAAGGAGGATTTTTATCCGGAGGCCAGTCCGGTTTTCTAGAGTTTCTGCTAGTGCCTTGCAAGCAGTCTGGGTCAGATACAGAGCTTGTGCTCACACTCCCTTGACCAGCCTGGTCTTTGGGTTTCAGGAATAAGGTCAATCAGCACTGCCATAGCAGCTGTATTTGGTGTCTGAATAAGAAGTGACATAATATTTAAAGAGCCCATTGTGGTACTGACCTAATTTTGGGGGAGGAAGAGAGTGTTCCTCCTGGGTGAGGGCTAGCAATGTGTATATCCGATAAAATTGAAATTCCACAGGCTTGAGGAGAAATGGCATCCTGTAACGGCGTCAACACCCACCTCTCAAGCGTGCCCCCTTTTCTCTGTCCAATAGTGCCTGCAAACAGTCTTTTCATGGGAGGGAGAGGCAGTACCCCCCTCTCATGGATGGCCTCCTTTCTCTCAGGTGTGAGCCTGCTTTTTCTTTTTTGGTCTTACATCAGGGAGGCACCTGCTTCATCTGAGCACCCCACAGCTACTGGTTCTCTTGGCTGGTCTTTGGCAGCTCAGCCCTCTGGCCAAGCCACACATGCTGTCCCCCCCCTTCTGGTATAAAGTCCTGAGTTCTTATCACTGCCCTGGTATGGGGCTGTAGTTCTTAGACTTCTTCCCAGAGGCGCTGCCTTTTTCAGACACCTAGCTGGAGCCCATCTTGGTACCCTCAACAGGGTTCCTTTTCAGCAGCCCTCCCTGGGCTCAGTCTGGTACCAGACAAGCAGGGCCCATCTCGGTACTCTCATCTGGTCTGGCCAGGTTTTATGCTCAGTCCCCCGGGCTCAGCCTGCCCACACTGACCTTTCGACAGCTCTGTTACTATTCTGTCCAGCCAGGCACCTGGTCTTTGGCAGCATCCGCTGGGCTCAGTTCTACCTGGTGAGCTCTCTGCACTGAGCTATCTGCAGTCCTGCTGTTCAACCAGCCAGCTAGGCCCTCAGTCCTCCCTCATCAAGCTCCACACAGAAACTGAACTTCTTTGCTCTGCTGCTTGTCTTATATAGGGCTCTTCTGGCCCCGGATTGGCTGCTCCTCTGCAGCCACTCTAGGCTGTCTGTTGGATTTCTCTCTGATCTATTCTGGGGCAGGGTGATGCAGGACCATGAGGCCTCCCACAGGGGGCTTCCAGACCTAGTCCACCCTGCCACACATCTCTGTTAAGGTTTAATAATAACCCAGTGATTTCCCAGATTGCATTCTAAAGTATCCAGAATCACTCTTGCATTTTGGCAGCATGCACAGGCACATAGACACTCCCTTTTCCCAGCCACAGAGAAGAAATATAGAATTAGGAGTGGGGAATTGGCACTAAATCAAAATCCTTAAATCAAAAAACCTTGCAAACAATTTAGACTGGGACATGTACAGTATCAAATTCATCTGTGATGGTGATGTGTATAAATAATAATAAATTCATGGTAGCAAATTATGTTGGTTCTGGTTTGTTTCCTGCTCTATCCAGCACTGGAATTCAGAAGTTGGGGGGGGAGTGGCTCCCCTTTTCTTTTTGTCTGATCTTCCATCATGTGACCATACCCACTTCTAGTACAAATTAATCATGTTTATTACAGTAGTGTCTAATTGGCAACCAAAAATGGGGCTCCGTTGTGCTAGGCTCTGTACAAACCCAGAGTAGTAGATGGTTCCTGCCCCTAAGAGCTTACAATATAATTAGACAAGACAGACACAGTAGGGAGAGAGGATAGGTATAACGCACAAGCAGAGTGAACAATGTGATAGCACCACAATGTGATACGTTTGAGGGGTGAGTTTACTTAGCGTGTGGATAAGCTAAATAGAAAGAAAAGTTAAGGGAAAGGGAGTGAGGAGGACAAGGCAGCGGAAAGGAGAGTAAGAGTGGAGTGGGGAGGACAAGGCAGTGGAAAGGAGAGTAAGAGTGGCCAGTGTGAGTGAAGCTGAGATGAAGAGACTGTGAGGGAGGGAGGGGGTTGGAGCAAACAGCCAATCAGCGCAAGACAGAATCTCTAGTCAAAACTGCTGAACATTCTCCAAAGAACTCAGCTTTGGCAGCTTCTGCTCCCTCCTGCTGGAGTCTCTGTCTGGCTCCTCTCTGCGCCCAAGGCCACATAGCTGGGGGGAAGAGAGTCAATGCTTGAGTCCCAGTGATCCCATAGTGGCAGCTGTCTTCTCTGCACAATTCTGGGTCCAGTGGCATGCTGGAGGGAGGGGTAGCTCTGGCTGAAAACCATTTTACCCCCTTCCCCCAAGTGCAGTAGTGCCTGATTTGGCTGCTTTCTGCTCTTACTGCCTGGAGTCAAAACATGTATAAAACATGCCCGTTTCTGACTGATGGCAAAACAAGAGCTGGGGCAGACAGCAAACTATGGATGGGAAAGATTTTAAGTTGATTTTTATTCTGAGGTGCTAATTCTCCTCCTTGAACTGCCAGGGATCATTCCTGGCATAGTTCCAACAGGATGCATTTGAAAAATGTACAGTATGGCAGCAGAGTTAAATCTCAGTGAGCAAACTGTATTTCAGCCTTTCATGGGGCCATTGCAGACATGTTTTTCTTTCTTCCTTTTTTCTTTGGCTAGGTAAGTGGATTAAGTTTATTAATCAAACAATTCAACACAAGTCTCTTATAATTTATTATCACAAATGTCTCACCAGCACTAGCAAAATTATGAAGGAGCCCTAGCTATTCTATAATTAAGGTTGTTTAAAGCTCAATTTTCAAACCTCTCTAAATCACACACGCAAAGTTGGATTGGTTTGTAAATTGCCATGGCAATTCAGGGCCCAGGGTAAAGTTGGGTAAAGCACAAAAAAAAGGAGTCCAAGGCCTGGTCAACATAGCTACATTGGTCATGGGTGTGAAAAATCCAGATTTCTGAGTGACGTAGGTATGCTGACCTAACCACCTGTTGGTGCCATAGCTAGCCACAAGGCACCCTTTCAGATTCTAGGCCCATTGCAAGGCCAGGTAACCCATTTCCATCGGATCACTGGGCCATACAACATTTTTTTATTATTATTTTGAAGGTATTTTTATATGAATTTAAGAAGATGAAACAGAAAAAAATGTTTTGGCATCTGGACAATTATATTGTATTAAGCAGTGTCCTATGAGATCTGAGAACCCAGGTGTAGTAGAAAGGGAGAGCCTGAAGCATGGGCCTGGTTCAAACCCTAAGGCCTGAACAAAAGTCTGTGAGTTATGCTATGAGCAACAGTCAGGTCCTGTCAAAAGCAGCTGATTGCCTGCAAGTCAGTGACTGGTACATGAACTATTGCTAGCATTGTTGCAACACACTGAATAGGTAAACACTTTCCAGCTGGCCAGCACAAGAACACCCGATCCTACCATACAATAAAACGGTTTGACAAAAATGATGAATAGTGATATTTTGTCTGAAACATCAGAAGTAAAAGTACAAAGACAGATGGTGAATAGGAATGTTTTGTCTGAAACATCAGAAGGAAAGTACAAGGGGAGGTAACAAACATCATGAAACATGTAAGGTGATACACAAGTTGTTTATCCCAGATTTTGTCTCAGTCTATAAATGTTGGGATACCTTGCTTTAACCCTTTGGCCAACCTAGGGAGGAATGGAAAATCCCGCCATTCACTGAGCTGCATCCATTGTCATGGGCATACATGTCTTAGTATCCTCGTAGAGTCTGGCAGGTGCTATTACCATGCTTCTTCAACGACAAACCTGGCCAGGCGCCTTTGTACCTTAACAGATCTTGTGGTCATTGGGCAGTTTAATTGAGGTCTGCTGTGCCAACTATCTGCACAGAGCTGGGACAGCACACAAAAAACACACACACACAGCCAAACATCTGATAACACAAGGCTAATTGCAGAGGCTATGAGACCTTGCCGCGCTGTAGGGCCTTGGCTTGTGAGGGCCACCACAAATGGGCAAGATGTTTGTTTCTCCCCCATTCCGTTCATATAAGGAATTGCCACTATTAATTTGTATTGCGAATATGTTTGCTGTCTTGCTGTAAAATCTTAGCAGAAACAAGGCATTGTGGGAGGTACAGTGAGATAGGTGGGTCGAGTTAGCTATCTCACTTAAAAACGCACCTTTTTGGCAGTGAAGACACAGCACAGTCTTTAATTACATAATCATACTATTTTACCCACTCTGTTTCTGTCTCATGTCTCCAGTCTTCCTCTTCTTTACTTCCTCCTTTTGGTCCACCCCTCCCCACAGCTTGCCTCTTTGGCACCTTTTCTCTTTCTCTCGGCTTGTATGTTTTATACCATCTTCGTTCCCTTCCTGCCTAACTGTGCAGCCAGGGATGGAAACTGAATCATTACATGCACATCAACATAAGCCTGAGGAGGCTTTCAGCTTGGCCATGCTGGAGACCCAGCTTTTAAACTCGGAAGCCAATTGTAGGGCTCTACATCTGGGCATTTAAATTGGCACTTAGGTTCCCAGCTATGCATTTTATGTGCCTAAAAGCCTGTCTGAGTACTAAACTTTGGAGCCCACATTCGAAAATTCCAAGGCCCTGATTCAGACTGGCCTTACCAAAGGAAGGCAGGGTACAACGCTTGCCAGATGGTGTCATACTGCTGCTGAGCAGCTCAGCTGAAACACATGTTGGTCTCCATTTTCCAAGGATTGAATGTGCTACCTCCATATGGTCCGGGCTGACCCTGAGAGCATGTGAGTGTGCTCGAGACCTATACCTGGATTTTGTCATCTGCAAGCACATTGCATTTGCTGTTAGACCTTTCATTTTTGTTAGCCTTACAAAAGGAATAAAGAATAAAATTATTATGCAAAAAACCCTGCTTATTTGTTGATGATGTTTGCATACTTGATGTGACTTAATGAAAATATCTGTAATTTCTTCACATCAACTTCCAGTGAGTTGCTGTATATTTTTCAAAAAAAATCTTCATAGAAGAAAGTTTTAGGTTATTTTCTTTCCATGCTCATTGTCCCTAGAGTAAGAAGAACTCTTGTACAACTGGTAAAGTGAAGTTTTAGTGCTGAGCAGCAGAGATATTGAGAGAGGGTAAAAAGTTCTCTTGAGAAAAACAAAAAATATTTGCATAATTTCCTTGAGGATGCAAAAGGCTGACATTGGTAGAAAGACAACATATAGCATAGTAGGTCAACAGAAATTTAGAAAATGTAGCTGGATGAGTATATTTCTCTTTATTTGTACTGGAATAAAATTGGTCCACCCTTGGTTGGAAATACCCAAGGAAACATGCTTACAAACATTGCTATATACTCAGAAAATACAGCATTTCTATTAATAACTTGTATTGAGCCCAACATAAAAATAACTCGAGCAAGCAAATACATTAATATCTCGAGTTCAAAGAAGATAATGCCTAAGGGTTTGAGGAATTACTGTAGCAAGAACAACATTGGTAAAACACTGAAGATTTAACATTTGCTGTGATACAGAAATCACTTGAATAGGAAAAAAAAAAACCTTCAAACTAAATGAAACTTTTTCTTGCGAGTGTACATTTTACAGCCCGCTATTTGTCAGATTGTCAGACTGATTGTTTTTAATGAAAAAGATGGATTCCTGTCTGTAAAATCTGAGCTTTACAAATTATTGATAATGGTGTCACTGATGTATGAAAGTATTCTACGGGATAATACATCAAGCTAGTGGGTTCCAATTTAAAATTTCTCTCTTGCTACAAAAGACAGATTTGCAGGCATGGGGCTGAAAATGAAATGATTAAAACTTCAGAAATTGATGATGATGTCCTCCTTTCTCTCTCTTTTCCCCTGTGTTTTGTAGCGAAACTTTCTGGGCTTGACTACTTTTAAAGTAGGAGACTTGGTGAAGTCAAAGGAACAACAGTTGACCCTTACCCTGAGGTAGGTCTTTTTGTCTGTTGTAAACCATTTCAGACTAATAACCCGTGACATTTAATGATTGCGGCTTGGCTGTGTTTGAAACTCAGAATTACTTCAGGTATATTAGATGTTAACCTCAAGTGCCTCTGTTTCTACTATGCACAAAGCTAAAGAGAAATACCAATTATTTAAGTCAGAGCTTCCCATGTGTCAGGTTAGAAAAGGTTACTCGCTCTTTGATATGATCCCCTACAGAAAAATTGCAGAGCAGTTATATTTGGAAAAGTCCTTTCAAAGATTGCTACAACAGGGAATATAAATCTTATTCTCACTTAATTAGTAGATTATATTTTTGTAGAATCTAAATGTTACTATCATGAAGTGACCAGGATTTGAATATTTGGCATGTTTAAGTACACTGGGCCTGATTCACCACTGCCTTGCACCTTCTGTAATCACTTACATCTGTGTAAAGGAGGTATGAAACGCTACCAAATCAGAATTGCAATGCAGAACTCTGCACAAATGTATATGACTACACAAGGTACAAGGCTGTGGAGAATGAGGCCCAGTGTTTTAGATGTGGCCCTGTGTTAACAGGAAGAAAGGATGGAATGGATGGGTTTGTGTTTAAAACAATGGGCTGGGAATCAGGAGAGTTCAATTTCCAGGTCTGACACAGACTTATGTTTATGACCTTAGGCAAATTATTCAGGGCATAATCTATTTCGGTTTGAAGCCAATAGAAAAACTCCTATTTACTTTAAAGGCTTTGGATCAGGCCCTTAGGACTTGATTTTCAGAGATGTTGAACACCCACAGCTACTATTGACTTCATCTGGAATTTAAGATGCTCAACATTTGTACATATTAGGCTCTTGTTATATTATATATCCCTTCCTCCTCTTCCTGTTCTCCTTGAAGATGCTGCGTATAGATGCACCAGAAGTCCACATAGAACTAGATTTGGTGGCACATGAGCTGCACACCCTGTCTTGGTGCAGATAGCCCAAACTCAAATGCATTCATCAGAACAGCAGTGGTTTCATTGTGCCAAGGGCCTTCAACACCCTTTTTGGAGAGGGCATAAATCTGGTTTTTATGTACCTGCACTCCCTGTTATGTACATTCAACTTTTATGTACATGCAACTCCCTATTAAAAGTAATGGGAGTTGCATGTAGACATGGGGGCAGATGGGGAGGTATATACTATTTGATTTAGAGACCATGATGTATTGACAGAGTGTATTGATTTTCATTCTCATATTGCATAAAATCACAATATAACAAAATATTAGTTTACAGTATTAGCCTTACTGGGTTCCCAGAGGGTACTGGGTCTGAATTGGACCGTTGTAGGTTTGCTTTTTGTCAAGTTTTGTTTTTGTCTCATACATTTTTTGTACATCTAATAGTAAAAGACAGCTGTTTGAAACAATTCCAGTTGAACTCCAGAACACTAAATTGTTAGTGGGTTGAAATTTAAAAGACATTTTCAAAAAAACTTATGAATGTTGAATTGTTTCTTGAGTATGGCTGTGGGCCAGATTCACAGAATTACTCTTCTCTCATTATGTCACCAGGCAGTGCAGAAGGAGACAATACTGCCCATTCCTCCTCAGTGGCAGTAAAATCTGGCTTCTTGGCAATCCCCTTCCTGCAGCATCCCTGTTGCTGGGGAAGTGTCAGGGATGAGGGACAGGCCTGTTGAGGGCATTGCCAGGAAAACTGTGCTCCATCTATTCCTAGCTGATGTACAGTTGCTTGGGAGGAGCTTTGCAAGCTGGTGTAAGTTAGAGTAGCCCAGGGCTGCTGTAACCTATGCTAGGTCTGGGACAAAGCAAAGCGGAGACTCAGGGAACTGAAACTAGCTCTCTGTAAAGCAGGTAGATATTGCTCTCATCATATAATCTGGCCCATACTTTCTTTTTACTAAAAAGAAAAGGAGTACTTGTGGCACCTTAGAGACTAACCAATTTATTTGAGCATGAGCTTTCATGCTCAAATAAATTGGTTAGTCTCTAAGGTGCCACAAGTACTCCTTTTCTTTTTGCGAATACAGACTAACACGGCTGTTCCTCTGAAACCTTTCTTTTTACTGACATTTTAGCATTTTCTTGCTCAGGAAAAACACAAACTAAACCATGTAACGATGGATTTTGAAAGAGTTGCCTTGTTCCTCTGTAGTTCTACAGGTGGGAGGCTTTTTTGTGGGGGTGGTCGTGGTAAAGGACAGTAGTGTTTAGGTTGAGGGAGGGTCAGGATATGTCTCTGTTGCAAAAAAAAATCTGTGATGCTGAGTCTGAGCACAGGTCAATTGACTTGGGTTTGCGAGTAGGTCAGGTTGTGCGGCTGATGCTAACAGTGTAGACCTTTGAGCTTGGGCTGGAGCCTGGGTTTTGAAACCCTGCGAATGCGGAGGGTCTCAGGGCTTTTCTGAGACCTTCCCCCTCCTCGGAGTTTCAGATCCCAGGCACCAGCCCAAGCCCAAACCTCTACGCTGCTATTTTTAGCCCCACAGCTTGAGTCCCGTGAGCCCAAGTCAGTTGACCCAGGCCCTGATACTTGATGGTGCATGTCTTTTATTGCAGCATTGACATACCCTCGGTGGCTTTGGTTTCTGATAACATTCAATTCTTCACCAAAGGTGTACTCTTTCTCTGCCCTCTCCCCTCCTTTCTTCTTGGCAGTGACTAAGGATACAAGCCAAGGAACTTCCTTTTGAGACACCAGTAGGGTTTTTAATCTGTCCTTTCATTTTGGGTTTTCATTTTTGTTTTCTTTGTTACAGCCCTTAATGTTTAAAGACTGATATTTTCTAGACTGTCCACCAAATGAGTGTTTTAGGGGAATGTGTGTGTCTATATATAATTATCAAAACCTGCCTGAACAGGTCAATTTGAGGTATTGCTTTGGTTTTGGCAAGGTGCAAAACCTGTCTCTTCTGAAGGAATTTAACTTTTTAGAGATTTTGAAGCACAGTTTCCATTCTGAAAATTCCAAAGGGCTAAATTATGGCTCATCTAAAAAATTGTCAGTGGGTGGTGGTGATGTGCCAAATAACAAGGTTTGATGAAAAAAATAGTAAATTTGCCAAATATAAAAGAAAAAGTCATCTTCAGCAGGCTAGATATTTCTGAATATCAATTTGGCAATATATGTTCACTGGAGATGCAGATTCACCCACTCCTGTGCTGTTGTCAGCAAACCTGAGTTAGGAGCACTGATGGCTGCTTCAAGTAATTTAGACTGGTTTAGTTCATTAGTTTTAGATTGTAAGCGCTTCAAGACAGGGACGCTTTCCTAGTATGTGTTTGTGCTGCACGTACCATGCACATGCACAATAAGGTTGGGGCCTTTAGGCTTTATGGTAATTCTAACCCAAAAAATAAATCCCTTCATCAGCCAGTCTGCAATGATGATGGCATTCCCCATTCTCTGGAAGATCCTTTCATTTCAAGTGTATTACTCTCATTATGAATATTGCCACAGGCTTGTGCTCTGTTACCCCTCCTGTTCAATGTGTATGTGATGTCACTAGGTGAGATAGGAAGATGTGCCATCCTTTGTCACATCTGTACTTGGTTATTTTGGTGTGATTTCCACTGAGCTACACGGGGGTAAAAGAGGACAAAAAATAATGGTGCTCTTCTAATCTCTCCCCACAAAATTAAGCTCTATCCATCTGTGATGCTGCTCTCCGTAGATTGTATGGATATTCCACACAGGATCATACATGCTGTCTGAGCTCCACTGAACTCCTCAGGTTTGGCTTCCCCTGTGTGGGGCATGGGTGGCACCCTTGAGCTTGGTTTCTTCTTCACTGGAGAAGAGAATAAGAGGTGATACTCTTCCAGGCCTAGTTAATTGTGGTGACAAAACACGATGTCAATCAGAGTAGATTGTGCAGAATTTCATAGTGTGATCCTTCCCCTCCTTTCTGACATGGGCAGAAGTTTCACACTTACAGTAGCATCTGAGTTAGTGTCCCATAGTGACACATGGGGCAGTTCATGCCTCCCAGAGCTATCATTTCAGGCAGTCTGGAAATTCAGGCAGACATCACTGCATCAGTTAACCTTCAAAACCAGAAGTGAGTGTTTCTGTGCAAATGTAACAGCTAGAAACGTACTTTAAAAAAAAAACCAAAAACAACATTTGAGATTCTAGAAAACAAGAAGGCAGTCTGGGAGAGGTGCTGGTATATACTGCTCTAATTTGAGTCCTGAAGGTACCTCTGAAGACCACTCCCACATCAGAACTCTATGACAAGTGGAACTAACCTTACAAAAACAAGGGAATTCACAAAGATTCAGGATAGACATACCAGTCTTTATAGATTTACCTTTTCCTGAAGAAAATATATGTGAAAGTGTCTCCCTGTGGTCTATACTGTACTATACTACTTTATGAACATAAGGTTGTACTTAAATTTCAACAATTCATTTTGTCCTGTACTTGTTTCTCAATGTTCTAAGCATTTCAATATCATCTGAACTTCTATTCAAGGATAGAGGGTAGGTATATTTGTCATGCAGATTTTTAATAATACAGTGATCTTACCTCTTTACTATGTTGCCCCTTTTGACCCAAGTGGATAGTCAAAGTTTGGGGCCCTGTGGATGTTCAGTAGGGAGTAAAAATTGGTGGTAGTCATGTATTTTTCTGCAGATTTGTTTATTTACAACGAATGTACATTCAGTCCTGTGTCTCTGAATGTAAAAAGAATCAAATAACAAGAAACAGCACCAGAGCACTCTTGGCAGCCTGCACCCCGACTCAGAAACCTCTCCACAGGTTTCTGCCAAGGTCAGACATGCTTTCAGCCGCTCTTTCTTGCACGTACTCATGTGCAGTCTCTCTCTCTCTCTCGTGTCCGTGTTTAAAAATTAGATTGACCTAGCTCCATCTTTTGGAGCTGCAAAAAATTTAATGCCCTGAGCACCATAGTGAGGTCAAACTAACCCCCAGTGCGGACTTGTGTATGTTGAGGAAGAATTCTTCTGTAGACCTACCTACT